CCAACTCACAGAGATCCTCCTGCCTCAGCCTCCCAAGTGCTGGGATTACAGGGGTGCACCACCACACCCAGCTCCTAATGTTATTACTGAGTGACACTATTAAATAAAACCCCTTGACTTGCTGTGCAGAATGGTAACTGTTCATCCCCCCAGGGATATATCTACCTTCATGTTGAGGCTCTTTCTAAAAGGATTTTCTTTTTCTGAGACGCTACTGTGTGTGGCTGGGCTGTGGGGTTCTCAGCAAAGCTCGCACGCTGGCCACAGTTCTGACACGCAAAACAATGGTACTTAACTATACACGACTCCCCTCACCAGAGCCCGGTGCTCAGTGACAGGGAGCAATAAATCTTCCTCCCAGTGTTTTAGTTTCATTTCCCACTGTGAACGAAGCTCAGCCCTAGAGGACCCCATTTCCTGTGTGTTCTCTGGTGGCTCAGCGGAGAACTGGCCAGATCCAATATGCACCATCCGTTTCAAAATGCAAATGTAGTTCCGTAGGCGCAGTCGCGGAGAGGTCCTCAGCCTCGCTGGCCTTGTGGTGCTTTATGTGGCGTAGTGAAAGTCACTCTGTGGAGACTGGCTGCAAAGTGCTTGCAAAAGAGAAACGAGCACTGCTCACTGGTTTGCGGGTCTCCCAGAGAGGCTCCACTGCAAACAAACAGCGATCGTCATGAAGACTCCACAGCAGCATGACGAGGGGACATGAGATCATGTGCCCCCAAAGAACAGAACGTACACCCTTTCTGTTACTGTTGGTGAGGAGCTCCCATAGCCACAGATAGGAAAGAAGGTGAAATATTCGAAGGTCACCAGCGAGGAGACTGCCTGGTTTCCCCTCCGAGCCCCCAACTGCGACAATATGTTCCTCTGTAAGTTCTGAAATTGTGTCTGAGATTTCATTCACGCTGCATTAGATCCTCAGGCCCAGGCACAGTCTTCGGAAGTGAATGATCCTAAAGTCACCCAGACGATGCTTCCGGGGGTGGCAGCAGGAGGGTTGAAGATAGAAACCGGAGGCTTGTCCCAGCCAGTTTCTTCAGGTACTTTGCTATTTGGGCTTATACACTTCTAAGTTCCAAGTGATAGGCGTCATGTGTGATGCCTGTCTAAACCAGCTCCCGTGGGAACAAGGACTTAGTGAGCTGCAGATTTCTCTCTTTGAATTTCTTTTGAAAAATTGAGGTTCTCTTGGGACCTTCTATTGAAGTTTAACAGGGTGCTATGAACTCAAAGGGAGCATCCAGAGAGGACGAAGGAGGATCAGGCGGGTCATAGGTACTGAGCCCAGCTGGGTAGGAAGTGTGAGTCACCCATGTTGTGTTGTGTAAGTCTGAAAGCTCCAACCCATCACAAAGACATGAGGGAAACCTCAGTGCCCTGAGTGACCAGCAAGCAAGCTACGACTGCCCCCAAGCGCCACTGTGGACCCCAAGATGATGCACAATTATTTGCCATTTCTGGAAGCTGCCCTCGTCTGGGATGGTGCAAATTCCTAGTTTTCATGATGGACGGTGCCTAGACAGTTCTACTACTTAGAGCTCCAGGAATTCTTGAATGGGGTCACCTGTGTGTCACAAGCATCCGTGAGTCAAACAAGATTCTGCTTAATTGACCAAAAGACAAACAGGTGAGGTCATCAGACGGCCAGGGTACATAAGGCCCCAGCCCGGAGCTGGGC